AATGGAGATGTGTGTGGGTCTGGGGAGGGCAGCAAGCAGGGGTGGTCATCTGTAAAACACGGGGCCTGCCCTGGACACCTTTCAAAGTTCCTTCCTAGTCTGTACATCAACGAGTTTACGTCCTTCCAGTTACTCCAGATCCTGTCAAGGTGAGAAGCCTCAGGAAGACACTGACTCATCCTCATCCTCGCTCAGAGCTTCCCCAACAGCCTGAGGCACCTCAGTCTGGCTACAGCAAGGCCCCTGCCAGTGTTAAGCTGATCACACAGGCCCCCCGATATGGAGTGGCTGCACAGGTGGAGGTCCCGTCATCACGTGCACTGGCCACATGGCAAGAGGGCTGTGACAGTGTGGTCAGAGACCGTCCCTGGAATGGTGGGTGGGCTGCCTCCGGTGCTGGCTTTGCTAAAGGGGTTTTCACCAGCAGCAGAGGTTCCAAGGTGACACAGCTAAGGGCGTGAGAGCCTCAGTCAGCCGCACAGGGCTTCCCATAAGCTGGGTCCATTTCCTGTGAACAACTAGGGAGACGGTGGGAGCCACGTCCTCCGGGCATCAGTGCAGAGAACCCGTCCTCTGTGCCTATCACAGCAACCAGCAAAGCCTACGAGGCCTTAGGACAGGGCGCTCACGTCCCCCCAAAACTCCTACCCCACGCCAGCCCAGGGCCTGCAGACAAAGGGGCCCATGGAGGGAAAACGGGTTTCATCCAAAGTGGAGGTGGCTGTCTGGAGGGTGTGGTGATGGATTACTGACATCTGCTGTAGGGAGGTGGCGGTGGGTTTGCCATCCCTGGAGTAGGTTTCGTGGAACCAAGGAAAGCCCTCTGTCACTTGTAATTTCCATTGCACATTCTTGGATGGTCATCTGTGAATGGCGCACATGTCTGTACGTCTCCATGGGGATATGTATACACGCCTATGACTTATCTGAATCATCAGTGAACCAGAAGGCCACATTTCCCAGCCATTGCAGATCCAGGGAGTTGATGGAAAAAGACAAAGCCATACCAACTTTTACACAATGAACGGCATTATGATCATCAATATTATCGCGATATCATCAATAGCAGCATGATCATCACCCTCGTCAGTGATGTCATCAACACCACCATCATTACCATCTTCGGGACCCTCAGCCTCATCGTCAGCATCACTAACATTGTCAACATCACCATCACCATCCATGCCGTCAGCACCATCACTGTCACCATGGCAACAGCAGCGAATGCTTACATAGGGGGTCCTATGTGCCAGGCTGTGCTCAGATGCTTTATATATATTGACTCATTGATTCCTCACACTATCTCTACGAAGCAGGTACTTTTATTATCTCTGTTTTACAGACAAACACAGGTTAAGTAGCTTGTCCAAACATTTTCATAGCTTGTTGGGCCCAGGCGGGAATTGAACCCTAACGGTATTTTTCCCTGCTTTAACCAATGTGCCCAACTGGATATGAACTGTTCATTTCCTCTCCTCAGAACAGAGGGCCGAGATGGCAACGGCCGCCTGCAGAAAAGCAGCGCGGAGGAGTGGGCCCACCAAACCTGGGCTCTAGTCCCAGCCCGGGAAGACCCCGGCCCTCCCAGGCCTCCATTTCCCCATCTGTAAACCAAGAAGGGAGCATCTGGGCGCTCTCCACGCTCCCTCAGGCCACCACTGCATGTGGCCTGCCAGTCCCTGCAGCTTTCAAAGCCCCCAGAAGTCTCTGCATGGTCGCCCTGGGGAAGCCAGTTGGGGATCTCATGGCCCTTGGGTGAACACCCCAGCGGGCTCCATTGATTCTGACTGATGACTGTGGGTGGGTCCCCAGAGATGAGAAGACTGGGGGCTCAGCCTCTGCTGGCCTTACATGGGGGCAGGCAGCGGCCACCTACAGCGGCCACGGCACTCAGTCTGGAGCGAGTGGTCAAACGGCATCCTTCTCTTGGTTCCTGACAGTTATTTTCCACATTGTTAATATGGCAACTCACCAGGTGCTGATGTGCCACTCCCACGACCCTCACCTGGTCATTAAGAATGTCCACTGATACGTAATTTCGGCTCTTGCAGCCCAACCCAGACGATAAGCTCTTTGAGAAAGGGACAAGGTGGCTGACGTATGTCGCATGGAGCGAGTTTTTCACATGTCTTCACTATTTGTGTCATTTGAGCTTTAAGTCACTGTGAGAGGTGGTGAGAACTGATGCTGGTGACAATGACAATGACAATCATGGTACCATCATCTATATTGTGAATACATACTATGTACTGAGAGCCTTCTGTGAGCCAGGCAGTGTGGCTGGCAGGTCCCAGTACTCAGCACTGCATTGCATTCAATCCGCAGGGTGTGTGTGTGTGTGTGTGTGTGTGT